CATCTCCACTTTTTAGATGCTTAATGCTAGATTTAGAGCCCTTACCTTTTATTTTCTGAATCATGTTCCACACCTTTGATATTGGCGCAAGAATTGATGTTTGAGACATAGTTTCGCCAAGATTGGCGTTTATTTTGTTTAAAAGTACTGCGTTTTTGGCGTTTAAAATTCTAAATTTGTTTAAATTGTGGACCATAGGATGGCGACGAAATAATGTTCAGCTTTCTTTAGCCTTATTGCGAGCTTGTTTGCATTCAGCGTTAAACCATGGTTTACGCGTATGAGGAACTGCAGAGGATTTGGGGATACACTTGTCAGCTATGTGTCTGAGCTCATCTGAAAAAACAGTTGATGGCATCAGGAAGATCATGAAAAAGTTCTGGTTTGAGTATGTCAGCACAGTAAGTTTCATATAAAAGCCAGTTAGCCTTCTTAAAGTTCCATCTTGATGATGGAGGAACATCAGATGGATTCACGGGTTTTAAAATTGTTGGGAAATGGTCACTTCCACACAGGTCGTCGTGGACTGACCACTCGAATTCACTCAATAAGTCTGAGGTAGTAATCGATAAATCAAGAGCTGAATAAGTTCCTGTGCCAGGATGTAAATATGTGCTAGAACCGTCATTATATATGCATACATCATTGTCTGAACAAAAGTCTTCTAATAGTTTACCTTTAGCATTAGTTGTTGTACCACCCCAGAGCGGGTTGTGGCCATTTAAATCTCCCATAATGATACAAGGTTTTGGGAGTTGGTCATATAAATATTGAAGATCAGTCTTCTGAATGACTGAAGATGGTGAGATATACAAAGAACATAATGTGAATGCAACGTGTAAAGTGAGTCGCACTGCAACTGCTTGAAGATTAGAAGTAAGTGTAATAGGGCTATGGATAACATTCTGTTTGACTAGGATTGAAGAACCTCCAGTGGCCCTGTCACCCGGAGGTGAGAAAGAATGATAAGCATTGAAATAACGTAGGTCAAAAGGATCTGTCTGCTTTAAATAAGTCTCCTGCAAACAGAAAGCTGACGGCATACAATCCTGGACTAATAACAGTAATTCATTATAATTATGCCTTAGTCCTCTGCAATTCCACTGTACAACATTATTGGAATAAACTATCTTTTCGGCGGATTTATTGGGGATCTACCCGGCACTGTTTTGGAGGGCGACAAGCTGTGTGCCCTATATTGGACGTTTTCGGACACGTCCATGTCCTCAAGTGATCCATATTTGTTGTAAAGTTTAATTTTATTTTCAGACCCTTTTGGGCTCTGCCACTTTGTTTTTTTGAATAATCAGGCTTAGGTTTAGTCATGCCTTTAGCAATTTGATGGACATTAGATGGCGATTGAGACTTTGTGGTTGACTGAGAGGATGCGTCAGGATCAGGAACTTGCTCTGATTGAGTTTGAGACATGCCAGAAAGTTGCTCCGCTGTTTGAGTCGATATTGCACTTGAAAAAAATCTGAGGAGAATCGGTTTTTACCCAAGTCAAATTTGTTTGGCAGCTGGAAGATGATTTAGGTATTTTAGGAGTTGCCTCAGATGGTTTTCTGGTTTTTGAAGCATATGTCTCTTGTTGGTCGCATCTTTGTACAAGTTGTTTCGCTTCGGCAAAACTAATATTCTGAGTAAATTTGATTCTGTTTATTTCCATCTGATGTCTCCAAATCGGACACTCTTTAGAGAAAGAGGAATGGTCTCCTGAACAATTGGTGCACTTTTTGTAAGTACTGTCAAAATCTTCTGTTGTGTGTGTTTTCTCACCACAGTGAACACACACAACAGACAATGTGCAGGTATTGACACCATGACCATACTTCTGGCACTTGAAGCATCTCAGTGGATTTGGTATGTATGTATCCACTTTGATGTGACAGTAACCAGCCTTTATTGACTTTGGAGCAGTCGGAGTGGAGAAAGAGAACAGATACGTGTTGGTTAGATGGGTTTCATTATTTTTCCGGGTTGTGAAGCGTTTAACATATATAACACCTTGTTCTTTCATCTCGGAGACAATATCTATTTCCAGCATGTCAGTAAAAGTCTATCCCGTCTCTTACTATGCCCTTGCTGGTGTTAAGCTGCTCGGTGGGCAGAGACTGATACAGGAATGCCGACAAATGAGTCAGTTGACAGGAGGTTGGTAGCCTGTGGTTTTCTACTGCATTCAACTACAAGTGCACCTGTCCGCAAACATTTAATGTTTTTAACATCTCCTGCAATGCCTTGTATGCCTTTTGATACAGCAAAAGGGTTCAGCTTTAAAGGTGATTTGTCAACGGTCTCAATCACAATGAAACGTGGCCAGTAGTCAATGGATGTGGGCAGTCTTTGGTCGTTAACATCAGGATCAGTGTCAAGTGGACGTTTCTTTTTTGAAATGGGGGTTTCGTAAGCCATAGTTATTGTTGAATGGTTCATCATCCGAGCTCCCCACCCTCCACGGAGTATCACAAGGACAATGCTAAAAACAGGCGGGTTTCCAGCCTGCAGCACCAAGGATACCCGGATGATATACGCAAGCAGAATAATACAAAAGTAAATATTCCACCTGATTGGCCCATGAGCCACCGCCTTCTGGGCATACGACTCCAGGCAAAAACACGTATGAAATTGTATAGTTGAAATTCAAAAGCTCTAAAAATTCGCCAAGACTTAAAAATAGAAGTTACAATATTCAAAATTTTGTGCAACATTACATAATGTGTGCTCAGGGCTTGGCGTGACCAGCCGATTGGTTGAACCGGGCCCATTCAACCACCCGTCTAGGTGAAGTAAGGGCCGAAGTGGTGTGTTGGGCAAAGGAACACTGTTCCTGGAACCAGTGCCCTCAACCACCAGAATCCCGTCCTCCACCGACACAGGGACGCAACCCACGGCAAACAGGTTGGTGGACCAAATATGCCCCCGGGTCCACAACGGGGCCTCTGTCTTGGATCATTTAGAACTTCTACAGTTGATAGTCTCTATGTTGAGGCAGATGAGCCTTCTCTTTCCCAACGCCGTATTAAATTACCTTTACAATATATAACCAAACTATATTCTAACGAGTCTAACCCTGCATTTAACTGTGTCTTCACTCCTCTTTATGAGGATTTGTATAACAAAAAGCCTTCTCTTGTTCCGCCTCTTGGGCACAGAATTAAACCATTCCTTTCTGCTGCTGGCATTGAGCTGGAGAGTATTTCTCCTTCTCGTCTTCTTTCTTCTCCTCCTTGGCAGTTGGTGAGGCCAGACGTTGACTTAACATTAACCACATTTAAAAAATCCGAAACTAATGATTTACAGTATAAACAAGACTTTAGTCAATTAAGAAATAAATATAATACCTATAAATCCTTATATACAGATGGATCCAAGGATGGTGGCGCGGTTGCTTGTGCCACTGTCATTGGGTTCAAAACAATATCTTCCAGACTACCCAATGACAGTTCAATTTTCACAGCAGAAGCAAACGCAATACTAACAGCTCTTAAATATATTAATAAACGCCGTAAATATAAACAATATATCATCTTTTCAGATTCCCCTTTGTGTCTTCAGGCTATTAAAAATCTTTCTTGCAAACATCCACTTTTATTAGAAATTATTGAATTGTACAATGAACTTGCTACTGGCCAATGCGACATCGTCTTTTGTTGGTTACCCAGCCATGTTGGCATTTCTGGGAACACAATGGCTGATATTGCTGCTAAGGCAGCACTCAACAAATCTGTGACGTCACTTCTGATCCCATACTCTGATTACAAAGCTGCTATAAGATCTTATATCCGTGATCTGATGCAAAAGAATTGGGACACCCATGTAGGTATCAATAAATTAAATGCAATAAAACCCTATATCGGTTACACTTACTTGGGTTGTCAGTCCAGATTTGAAGAGGTCATCATACGACGATGTCGTATTGGCCACACAAGATATACGCATGAGTACCTATTAAAAGGTGAGGATCCTCCGTTTTGTATCCCTTGTGATGAACGAATCACGGTCAAGCATGTCTTGCTTGACTGTGTTGAGTACTCCATCACAAGGGATATCTATTTCAAATCCCGAACTATGAAGGATCTTTTCACTAATATAAGTCCTCATTTAATTATTGCTTTTTTAAAAGAATTAAATTTGTTAACAGATTTGTAAATAGCTAAATATTTTATGATTGGAAGTTTGCATTAGTAACATAGATTGTTAGTGGCCGTATCCTCGAGGGGGGTTAAAGTACTGTAAAATTATTGTCCTCCTGAGAGGGTACGTAAGTCCCATAACATTCAAAGTAAATTTCAACTTTCCGTTTTTTAATCGTAGAATATGTGTAATTTTAATGTATGGCTAGATATATCTTAATTGCTAACGGCTGAGGGGATGATATAAATCCAGCTAGGGCCCATGCAGGAAGCAAATGTACTGTAAGTCCCCATGGTCCCTAGTATGGTGATCTACCTTCATTTGTTAGCGATCTATAGCCCATTTTTAGATTGTGTTGTCCCCTATGGTTAAAATGTTTTAAATTCAATTACTAGTTTTTCATATATATCTGTGATACTCTAGTTGCTTTACTGTCCTTCGATGACAGGTTTTATAATATATACATATTCCATTACAATGTAAAATGGTCTCGTCACGATATGGGTGAAATATTGCCGATGTGACGTTAAATATTAACTCACTCACTGTAGATGAGCATGATGGTCTCACCATCTTGTTATACTTGTAGCATTATGCCTTGGGGTCACAAACAGGCTGTCAGTGCAGTGTTCTCATCTCATATTTCCCAATAACTAACTACACATTGATCAGAGATTGTTCTGTGGAACTGGTCCCTGAGATGCTTTAGATTGACAAATGAAGCCCATTGCTGTCGTCCATCATGAAATTTTGTTAACAACACACCAAACCCGGGTGTGACAGCTTGTTTGTTGCCTCCCCTATCTGCACCCTCTCCAACCCTATCATATCCCTTGACTTGTGCATCTGGTTCTCTACTTCAGGGATTGAATGAACGTGTAAAGCAGGAGGAGATAGGACGTAACCTGGAGGATGCTTTCCTGCAAGGCGTCAACGATGCTGAAACACGGATGGCAGGTAAAGAGTGCTATTTTTCACAGCTGGCATTTGATAGTGCAGCCTTACCATTCGGTGTGTGTCAGTGACTTGAGTTCAAATATTGCAAGTTGCATAAAACAATCTGCTTCGTCTGATGTTAGTTGGAGATGCGTTGGGACTGGAATAATACCCTAGATACAAGCAGGTTTCACTGCCATCAGGATGTATCACCATTTCATGTCAGAAGACCTTTACAGATGTTGGATCTGTTATTTAGGTAAACAAGATGTCGATCGAATTATTGTCTGTAATGTAATAGTAAATCGGAAAATGCATTTATATGCAAGAAACTTATCTGTTTTCCAATGCAATAGCTATATCTCACAAGATACTGAGGAAGAACAGATTATGTTTGCTGCTATTTATACATGAATAGTTATCGATTATCAGGCTTATCCTGAACAGACTGTTAGTGACCAGTCTAATAACAGTTGTGACTAATGTTACCATGGCGTTTATGGCGTAATTTGGGGCCGTATTTTGTCAGTTACATCCTTGTTAGAATTTCTGTATATTGACGTCAATTCGTTCTTTACAAATACTAGGGCGGTGGGGTAGCCTAGTGGTAAAAGCGTTGGCTCGTCACGCCAAAAACCCGGGTTCGAATCCCCACATGTGTGAAGCCCATTTCTGGTGTCCCCGCCGTGATGTTGCTTGAATATTGCTAAATGCGGCATAAAACCAAACTCATTCAGTCAGTCAGTACAAATACTATCGATCAAAGGACTCTTTCCTCTTTCCTGTTACGGAACTTTTCATAGTTTGCAAATGTCAGTAACAGGAATGAGGAAAGCGTTTACCAACCTTCTGTACACGATTGGAAACAAATGATAATGCGTCGAAGCAATAACAGTTCATTCACAAGTAAAATTTGATTGTTGGGAATAGCCCAACAAGGTGGTTCAGATGAGCTGACGAAGGGTTAAAAACAAATTATGAAAATTTGATGATGTGAAATTTATATTACCAAAGAGATTGGGGGACAAGACTTACTTTGTATATGTATATTATTCCCACTGAACAGTTCTTTGTTAATATTACTTCTTCCTTCATATTATAAAACACAACATGAATTAGGCGGGATATGGTGTTAGCTGTTTGCTAATACACGATGCTTTTTTTATCATTTTAATGTCGAATTTTACTGGGCGTATTGAATTTGAAAAGAAATAAACACACGTTTTATTGTGATCATCGGTATTTTTGTTGCTGTTGTCTGATCGAATCATCAAAGGTCCCTTTGAAACATCACCACTGAACCGAGAATCGCTGAGAATGTTTTGCTAAACAAGAACTTTCAGCCATATTGCAGAGTGTTTATGAAAACATGTCCCACGTATGTCGGTTCTGTTTCGCCCATTACATCACAACTACTATTCAATGTAACCTTCATTACACGAACCCATGTAGATCCCAGAAAGGATTCTTGATCTTCAGTAAGTAATGTTTGTCGTAAGAGGCGACTTACGGGATCGGGTGGTCTGGCTCGCTGACTTGGTTGACACATGCCATCGTATCCGATTTGCGTAGATTGATGGAATGCTGTTGATATTCAGAGTGGTCCAGACTCAACTATTTATAGAAGGCCGCCATATAGCTGGAATATTTATGAGTGCGGTGTAAAACTAAACTCGTTCACTCCTTTCCCGAATCCCTGAATTCCTCACACAGTTCACAATAGAATGACAAATGGTCTTCATCACCAATACCAAGTATCTCAGTGATATCTAGCCAAAAATACAAGATGTGAAAACGAATGTTTGGAAAGGACCACATGTCTGAAATGTAAACAAAGCCAAGCTCAGATTTTATGCAATTGATAGTATAAGTATAGATTGATCAACAAAGATGATTTTTTTAACTCTTCATTAGTATGATAACAAATGAAAACTGTCAGTGGTAAAAACATTAGGACTGAAAAATAACGAAGTCAAAGTACGTCTTTATATACTGAATCACAAAAGAAACGTCGCTTTTCAAAACCAAGTGCAAAAATTTGTTCAGTGTGTTTTCTGATGAAAAAGCATATCGACCAAATCCACCGAAAAAGGTAGACATGGTAAAAGGTTCCATATGACATTTGTGAGAATGAAAATGCACGTGCATGTCATGGCAGCCCTACCAAATGAGTTGTGTTGAGTTGCGTTGAGTTGGGTTTTGCGTCACATCGGCATTATTCCAGCCATATATTGACGAGAACAAGTTTGCATTAGTAAACATTGTAAGTACATACTCGGAATGAGTTTTATGTCAAAACATATATTCATTACATTGTCATTTAAAAGCAGAAAAAGTCATACCATCAAATTTAAAGGCAGGCAATTTGTTAGTCACATTTCACAGTTACAATTTATGGTTGTTACATTTCACAGTTACAATTTATGATACAGATCAACTTCCCTCAGGTAGTTCACTATCAGATGAGCGCTCACGCGGGAGAACAGATCTTTTAGGTTTGTTGCATCATAATGTGAGTCCCTTGCAGACGATAAGTCCACGCATTCAAGCAGAATATGCTTGATGGTGAAGACCTCATCGCAAGAGACACACTTGGGGGGTCCATCCCCATCCGTTTTCAGCAGATAGTCATGTGTAAATCGACTGTGGCCAATATGACATCGTCGTAAAATTACCTCATCACGTCTTGACTGACAACCCAAGTAGGTGTAACCAATTGTTGGTTTCAATTCATACAGTTTATTTCTTCCTACTTGAGTGTCTCAACGTTTTTGCATGAGGTCCCGAGTATAGCTTTTGATAGTGGGTTTGAAATCACTGTACGGGATCAGCAGTGGAGATAAGGGCTTGTCAAGAGCTGCTTTTGCTGCAGCATCGGCTTTTGTGTTACCTGCTATGCCGTCGTGACCCGGCAACCAGCAGAGGACGATGTCACATTGGCCAGTAGAGAGGTCGTTGTAAAGTTCTAAAATGTCCAGAATGATTGGGTGACTTGAAGTAACATTTTGAAGTGCTTGAAGGCAAGATAATGAACCGTGAAAACGATGACGTTTTGGGAATGATTCTGCTGTTTAATATAGGTCAAAGCTGAAAAGATAGCTTTGGCCTCGGCAGTGAAAATGGAACTGTTGTCGGGGATCCTAGAGGAGACAGTCTTAGATCCAATGACTGTAGCACTGGCAACGTGGCCCTCATCCTCGGATCCATCTGTGAACATAACTGGATGTGTTCCTGTTGAACATCAAGTGATTTGTTTCAGACTTTTTGAATTTAGTGAGGGTAATATCGACCTGTGGTTTCACCATCTGCCAGGGTGGTGAAGACAGGAGTCGGTAAGGTGCTATGCTATTGAGATCAATTTTAACTGCAGATATGTGTGGTTGAATTCTGATTCCAAGTGATGGAACCAGGCTTGGCAGTTTAGGAAACAAGTTTTCATAGAGAGGGTTGAAAACACAATTGTATGCTGGATTGGACTGATTTGAACGTAGTTTAGAGATATATTGCAGTGAAAGTTTAATGCGGCGTCCTACCAAATGAAAGCGAGTGCCAAACTCGCCTGAAATCATTTTTGTTTTGACACAACTACCATGCCAGGTCTTACGAGAGAGATCAGCGGAACCAAGTCATGGGACGATTGCAAGTTGTCCAGACTGCATGGAGGGTAGCCAATCATTTTAATGTTCATGTTAGGACAGCAGGAGTGGTATCAGGTCACTAAGAACATTCAAGACGGTCCACACAGTGGGCGAACTTCAGTAACATCGCAACGTCAAGACCGGCAGATTGTGTGCCACAATCTGCAGGATCGCTTCCCAAGAGCGACAGAAACAGCATGTCTTACTATTAGGACTAACAAAAGACCCATCAATGTCGATACAGTGCGTCGATGTTTGCGCGGAGAAACCTCTGCAGTCACAGGCCCTATTGTAGTCTTGTCCTCACCACTCAAAACCGACTGTAGTTGGCAACTCAGCATCGTAATTGGTGTTATTGACAATGGAGAACTGTGCTGTTATCTCATGAAAGCCGATATTGTGTTTCAACAGTCAATAGCAGAGTGAGAGTATAGCGAGGACGTGGTGAAACGTTTTCCAATGAGTATTGTTGAAAGAGGCTCGTGGGGTAGTCCAAGCATCATAGTGTGGGGTGCAATCGGTCTGAACCAGTTAGCTGACATCATGTCCTTCCAGAATTTATGTCCAGGATGAGGAAATAACATGACAGCTACTCGCTATAATGATTTAGGCATATGACCCCACGTTGTAACACATTTTGGATGTTACAGAAATAACATCTTCCGACAAGACAACGGTCGTGCCCACACTGCCAGAGCAACATTGGACTTCCTAAGACAACAAGGCATCCAAACCCTACAATAGCCTGCACTCAGTCCGAATTAAAGTCCAATAGAACACCTTTGGGACGAGATTCAAAAAGACTGAATGTCCTCCAACCAAGGCTGACAACTGCGACTGGCCTCGATCAGGCATTTCGCAGAGTATGGACCCAAGCGCCCATGGCCTTCATCTACCAGCTAATTCGTTCCTTGTACAGACTACTCACTCATTCATCGATGTCCATAGAGGCCACACACGATACCGACTTTGGGGCATCTTAATGGTACCATTTTTGATGATTGTTTCTGTGAAATCTAAATGTAATTCCCGAAAATGTGTTAACCATAATTGTCAAGTTTGAAGACAGTCCCCCGTTTTTATTGTTAATTAGAGTGAATTAAAGTGTGTGCTTTAAGAAACCCCTATCAGTGCGACATGTCTTTTGTGGTTCAGTATATTTTGTCTTATAATCCTAATTAGTTTATTATCATATTTGTTTGCATTTTGAAACTTAATAAAAAGCACACAATCTGCATATACTCATAGTGAATTTACAACATGACTGTACTATACAGACATTTTAAAGATTGCCAATGTAAATCACATTTCACACACACGCCCTAAGTGCGACCTAGTGTATGTTGTCTGTCTCATTACACTTCACAGCGAAAAAACTGATTC